CCTAAACCCTATACCCAAAAAAATCCCCTAAAAACCCTAAACCACTACTCTCAGTGCCCTGCTGCCATCTTGCAGTCGAGATCGAAGGTCCCAGGCTCTGTTGCCTTCTGCAGCAGCCTGACTCGTTGTTGAGGGGGGGGGGGGTTACGGCTTCTAGGGTTCAGGGTTTAGGGTCTAGAGTTTGGGGTTTAGGGTTTAGGGTCTAGGGTTTGGGGTTTAGGGTCTAGGGTTTAGGGTCTAGGGTCTACGGTTTGGGGTTTAGGGTGAAGGGTCCATGTATCCAAACAGGGTTCCTGTAAGGGTACGACAATGGGTATAAGAGTCCATGTCGCCAAACTGAGGCCTGCATCTCCACAACCCAAACAAGGCCCTTGATAACTACAGTGGGATTTTGGGGTTCCGTATAGTATAGTTTAAGAATGTTTGCTTTCTAAGGAACCCTAAAGAACGTTGTTCAAATGAAATCCGGCTTCTATTCTAAGAACCTCACTTTTGGGCAGCTCGCTAGGACGAAACGACGATGGCCTGGCCGCAATCCAGCTGTTGGACGTCGCGCTGTGATACTCCACCTTCGGAGCATAGCAGCTTCTTGGGCTTGGTTCTGGGTTTAGGGTTCAGGGTTTAGGATTTACAGTTTAGGGTTTGGAGGTTAGGATATAAGGGGGCTTGGTCTGCGGCCGAGATCGGTTTGGGCCCAGCTCAAGCCCGAACCCCAAGAATCGACATCTAAACCGAAGCCACATGTGAAACCAGTGGAGGCGACTCTTGCATCCTTAGAATCGACGAGATCTCAAAATACCAGCAGAGCCAGAACAAGGAAGAACAACATTCATAAATGTCAATAGCAGCGCTCTACTGAACACCACCTTCGACAATGTTGGAAGTTACAAACAACAGACAACAACCAAGAGCAATACCAAGAGCACCCTGGTAGCAGCACCGTGTGCCATTAGAAGGAGCAGATAACAACCCCCGCCCATCCTCAGCCCTAAACCTCGAAACTTGGACAACTTCGTGTGCTGTAAGGATCTCCGAATCCCGATCACGTTCAACCGAACTAGAACTAGTTCAGGATTTAGGTTAAGGTGCCTTAACTTAAACTTAGCCTCAAGGCCAAAAACCCTGAAATTCAGGGTTTTGAGCCCTACAGCCAATAGACTTGGGCCTTGGGGTTTTGGGTTTGAGCACCATGCAATGTGGGAAGCTCTTGAATGTGAATTACTTCTTGAATGTGAATTACTTTCTTGTTTTTGCTTGTGGCCGACGCACGTCGACACCTCCAGCCAACTCCGCCACTGTCCCAGCCCGGGCAGTTCAGGGGGGCTTCAAGTTTAGGGCTCAGCGTCCACAGTAGGGTAGGGCTTAGGGCAGTTCAGCGTTCACCTTTCCGGGTATGTCACTGCCAAGAACCACTGAACGCCTACTGTAGGGGCCTTTATAATGAGACTAAGGTTTCGGGGCCCATTATATTGTAACCATATGAAGGAATGGTATTGGCAATCCTTGCGCCTATGAAGCCGGAGTGCCTCAATCCCGCAGGCCCACCCAATCTGTAAAACATGACCCCAGGAAAACCCAGGTAGGGTTAGATCCACATTTGGTGTCTGGTAATTAGGGTTAGTTCCAAATTTGGCGTCTGGTGGGGTGGGAGGAGTATCAGGCTATCATCAGAAAAAACGGCGCTGCGATAGTAAGGCACCTCTGTGCCATCCAGCAGGCGAAACACGTTGTCCACCTAGCTTGGCTTTGAGGAGTGGTGAGCGTAATAAAGCATAATAGTAATATTCAAGGTAACAGTATCATCATAGTAGTGAGGATAATGATCATTGTAGTAGTCATAACAATAACAACAATGATAGCAATGATAACTGTAACACCCAAGTGGGGTCGGTCTTTTCCTTGGGAATGTCCCAAAAGCAGGCTAAAATCGTGGATGAGGGGTTCCAACATTATTACGTAGTACTATCACTATTATGATTATGACTACGAGTATGATTATGATTCTGATGATTGCTCATCTAGACGACTTGATGCTTCGGATATAGGGAATGCACGCAGGATGCCACGGACTAATGACTAATGCATCGAAGACATGACGGAGGAAGGCGTCCAACAGTGGTAACATGTTCACCACTCTGTAAGGGTATGCACCTCGGGACAGGCCAACACACTACACCTTGCTACTCGTGTGATGCAACTAGTTCATGTGGAAAAGACCAGTCGCGACAAAAATGGACGGAGATGTGTTACCAGAATGGCTGCACCAAGTGTGAAAAGCGGAGGATTCCACTCAACTCTCGGTCACAAAGCCCAAGGCAACCAATCGTAGATCAAAGCAAGGCAGCAAAGCAAAGCAAAGATGATCAGAGATTAAAACCGTAAGGTTGACGCTCAGGCAGAAGACAGGTCCTACAACCCCCAGGCTGTAAGCGGTCTTTTCCTGGGACTCGCTAGGCGGTCCTTGAGCAGTCAAGCTGCGTAGTGAGACAAAGTTGGCCTGAATCCTAACCAGAAGGCAGAAGCACATGTACGCATGTCTGTGACAAATCACACCCCCCTCGACGCGAGCTTACGCGTGAGAAAAGCGGAGTTTAGGAGAGTCACATCCACTGATTGTGCACCGAGCCACACCTCTTCCGGTCAGCTAAGCTTGAAGCAATTAAGAACCATTAGATGTGGGTCGGTCTCTGCATCTGGATCATACCTATGTTTCACTTCTGTACAAACGCAGCCTTTTGTGATCGTCAGGCGCATAGCGAATTGCCGTGTGATCGTTGGCAATCGGATGTTCCATCGGATCTATGCGGGGTTTACACACTAGACTCAACGCGCTCAGAGTGAGAACTCGGCAGCATCGAGTGTCCGTGAAAAGAGAGGGACACACGAGGAAAATACCATGGCTAGCCATTGTACCCCTGTGGGTCTTCTCAGCGCGGCGCAGGCAAGGAAAGCTGAGGAAGTAGCGGAAATTGTATCATAGCTGGGCTTCACCATCAGAATCCGCCTGACCCAAGGCACAACGTTGAAGGGTCAGAAAGACTCAACCGGATTCACCTCGCAGTGACACAATACGTCGCTACGCAAGTCAACAGTCGTCATCTACGGGATGTGGGACTACGGGTGCGGTCCCTGTTTCCTCGTCCGGCACCGCCCCTTCCTCTGTTCCCTTTATCGCCCTTTCCTCGACCTTTCTCCTGCTTTCCCTTTCCCTTTTCGCCCCTTCCTCTTCCTTTGCCCTTTGTCGGCTGCCTCGTATCATCGGCTTCATCGATAAGGCCTGCCACATTCGAGCCGGTTCGGGATTTGCCTTTGGCCGTTGTCTCCTTGGCCGGGCCCATCGTGCGAGATCGCGGTTTTGTCGAGGCAGACTCAGACCAAGCCGATGGCGCAGCATCTGCCGCCTCAACAACACGCTGTTGCGGGCGTCCCCTTGCTTCCGTACTGGTAACTACTCGACCAGGTGTCGGCCGCACAATCGAAGGAGCCCATTTTGCATCGCGGGCTGACTTCGAAGGTGGGTTCGAGGCAGTGCGGATACTCGGTGCAGGGAACTGGGGGTTGATCTGCTCCTGTGTGGTAGCGGATGTACCCCCTGGTGACGCGCTTCGTCTCGCACCAGCTTCCTCAGCAGAGGGAGCAGTCACGCCAGCCGCCTTCGTGTTGATAGGGTCATCGGGATTTGCATTCATCGAAATGATGACATTGGCGACTTTCTTCCTGACAACAGGCAGCGTGTTTGGTGCATGATACATGCGAATGATGTCTTCAATCGTCGGGTTGTCCAGATCAGGCTCCGGAACCCTTGTTTTCATTCGCAGCACCATGGGCAGTCCCATTTGATCGGAATAGGATGCCCTTCCTGAGACCATCAGTGTCTCCCCTTCCGGGTGCGGAACATTGTAGCCCGATTGCCGCGGCGTCTTCCGACTCGGTGGATTTGGCGGCGGCGGCATCTCGCGAGGTGGTGGTGGTATCGCTTCAGGAGCGACCCCACCGAGATGCTCTCTCCCAGTGCGCCGGGAGGTTGGGCCTGTGCGGGTCGCTCGTTCCAGCTCACTGTCATCTTCATCTTCGTCCTCGGTGGGAACAGGGACAGTGTGAGCCTCGGGAATCGGAGCCTCCCTTCGTGCGGTGGTTCGCACTCTGGGCTGAGGCGTCTCGTCACGTCGGCGTCTTTGACGAGCCGTAACGTCGAATAGCCCTTGAGGCTCTTCTAGCTCATCGGGAAGAGCTTCGAATACATCGTCATCCCTTTTCATCAGGATCGGATCAGTGCTCTTGGCATCGGGGAGCTGATCCTTCACTCCCTCGACAAGGTTGAAGAATCTCTTCTCGGTTTCGCGGTCATCATCGAAGAACTCCTTCGTCTTGAAGCCGTGATCGCGAACAAAGTCCTTGAACGCCTTGCGCGTTTCATCGGACGTATCGGAAGCGTCAAGGAGCGCAGTATTCCCTTCTTCAATGATCGCAAATCGGGGATCAGAGTGATGCAGAATGAGCTTCTGTCCCAAAGGGTCCAGCTCACGCCAGTTGATGACTGGCGCGCTGGATTTATCTTTCCCTTTGCCTTTCCCTTTGGACGCCTCATTGGCCGCGGCAGCTCCCTCAATCTCCTCTTCTTCATCGTCGGAGATGTAATGTTGGATTGAATTTATTAAACCGGGTGACAATTAAAATATTCCCTGGGCCAGAATTTCCGGGCGCAAGAGGAGTTTAAAGGCGTGGGCAGATTTGGCCAATCAACTTGATCATAATTATGGGGTCGCAATTATAAAGGGGGTGGCAATTAAAATATTCGGGGTCCGAAATCCCCAAAATTCTACAGACGAGGCTACGTATTTACCAGAGACTCAAACAAAGAGGACCCTGAACCCAGCCAGCAGAGTGCAGATCGGCACAGACGACACTGAGCTACTAGCTCGCAGAGTGCAGTTGCAGACTGTTTCACTCCACCCCTCGGCAGATCCACTGGCATCCAGAGAGCTGTGAAACAGAAGAACTCAGGCTGCCTTAGGTGGCAGACCCAGCTCCAGACGCAGTCTGTTCAGCAGATACCGCTCCAGCTTCGCAGGATCACAGTCCAGACAGCCACTTTGCCAGTGGCATCTTGAACAGACGCCCAGACCTGTCAGACGGACAGTCTCGATGCGAGACTTGTCCTCCTCAGACAGATCAGAGGCGTCAGGCTCCTTGTTCAGAGAGAGGAGCTGCTTCGCCAGATTCTCAAGCTTGAGAACAGAGGCAGCGTCCTTGCCAGACTTCGCAGCCAGCTTCTCAGAGCGGATCCGGTTGGCCTTCAGAGTCTTCTCCAGATCCTTCTCTTTGGCCAGAAGCTCCTTCTCCAGCTTAGACTGCTCGCCAGACAGCTGCGCCAGAAAGCCTTTCAGCTCAGACATGAGCTCCAGAACCAGCTTCCCGCGAGACCCACGAGCACAGGGTCCTTCCAGAAGCAGGCCCGAGCAGATCCAGAGCATGTTGGCCAGAACGCAGAAGCCGCACTCGTCAGACTTCTGGGTGCCAGAGGAGCTTCTCTCTGGCAGAGTCTCTGCCGGCAGAAGCAGAGACAGAAGCCGGGCAGCGTTCACAGAGCACTCCTCGTGCTTCTCAGACAGGCTGTCCAGGTACTTCACAGAGAAGTTTTCTGAGAGCTCTGCTCGCTGCAGGACCAGAAGAGTCCAGTGGTTCGGAGAGTGCCCCCAGACAGGCACGAACAGCAGCTTGTTCTCAGAACGAAGTCTGTCCAGAGCAGCCCGCAGAAGCTCGGGGCGGTCGTGTTCGCCGAGGAGCTGCCCAGAGAGCTTGGGGTCCACCATGCAGATCTTGTTCTCCAGGAACCAGTTCTCGTCGGAGTCGCTCAGATTGTAGCGCAGAAGTTCCCAGCCGTACCGAAGATGCTGGTCCAGAAGCATCTGCGGGTAAGACTTCTTGAACTTCAGCAGTTCCACAGGCTCCGCAGCAAAGAACCCGCCAGAAGCCTCCAAAAAGAGGCTAGAGCCACCGCAAGCTCGCAGAACACACGCCTTCAGATCCCTCTTCAGGCGCATGCTCTTCCACTTCTTCGGAGTCTGCCAGAGTGGATCCACCTCGCAGACCTCCTTGTCAGAGAGGATCACGGTGGCACAGGCATCCCCTACACCTGAGCAGACAATGAAACAGAAACTGTCCTAATTACCGAAGTAAATGAATGCAACTCAGTGGCCAACCAGAGAGACCTGGTTCGTCAGAAGGTTGTGCAGAGAGCACTTGCCAGACTTGCCACAGGTGTGGTCCTCTCGCAGAATCCTGCAGACTCGGCCGTAGAGAGGGCCCTTCGTTGCCTCCTTCAGCTCAGAGGCCTTCTGAGAGACGGGGTCAGCAAGAGCAGGGCCAGGCACCAAAGCAGAGTCGCCGGAGGGCTTGTCGTCCAGAGCCTTGGCTTTCGCCAGAGCCTTGGCAGCGTGGGCCAGGGCCGTCTTTTTCTTCTGCTTCAGAGCGGCCTTCTTCGTCACAGAGGCTTTCTTGTCAGAAGCTCTCGGCACCAGACGATGCAAAGCTTGCTGTCGGGACATCTGTGTCAGACGATGCCTCATGGCTTCCAGAAGCTTTCCTCGAAGCTTCCGCTTGGCCAGAACGATCATCTGCTTCACGTCTCGCTTCACAGCTTTCTTCTGCAGAGTCTTTTGGTCCGCAGAGAGCTGCTTGTGCCAGGCTGCACGTTGCAGGTCCAGAGAAAGTGTCAGGACGCCAGATTCGATGCAGGGGAGCTGCAGATCCAGTGGCATCTCGTGCACGTTCAGAAGGGCCTCGGAGACCTGGCTTTCCAGAGCCTCGTCCTGCGAGTCCGACTGGTGGTAGCTCCATTCCACCAGATCCGCCACGACTTTGGCTCCGTGCGGAGCAGACCAGTCCGGCTGGGCTGGAATGCCAGATGCATCCAGCCAGGAGTAGCGGTCCTTCAGCCAGGCTGGCTTCGTCCTTGCAGAACCTCGGCTGCCAACATGTCGAGGAAAAAAAAAGCTAGAGATTACTTGAAGCTGGAAAAATAATTAATTAGAGGAGAGCAGAGCGGCCCATGGAGGCGCCGCAGCAGTCTTCGTCTTTCAGAGGCACCAGAGTCTGCTTGGAGAAGTCCGGTCTGTAAGCCAGCAGACCCTTTCGGCGAAGACCAGACACGATCCAGTCTTTCGAGGCCTGTCGCTCAGACATCTTCGTCTGAGCTTGCACCACAGCCGTCGCCATGTCCAGATGGCTCGCTCGCCAGAACTCCTTCTCGCCAGCTGCCAGCAGAGCAGTCTGACCGGCATGCCTGCAGGCACGTATGGTTTAGGACAGTGTAATTAAGCAGGACATCAGAGAAGGGAAGCAAAAACAAAATGATTAGAGCAGCCTCAGGTTGTCCATGGCAGACCTTGCCAGACTCTTGAAAGATCTGGCATAGTCTGTGTCAGTCAGTTGCAGACTCGCAGTCAGTTTCGGTCCAATGACCGTCTGCAGACTCTGCGAGTAGAACAGAGACTCTGCCCCAGAGACAGACCAGGCCGCCGCGAAGCAGTCGCGGACATGGACAGAGGCAGGTGCCAGAGCAGCCAGCTCCTCCTGAGCCCAGGCGAAGATGATGCCATCCACATTCGCAGAGGGCTGGCTCATCAGACTGATCTGGCGAAACAGAGAAGGATCCTTGTCCCTCGCCTGCCTCCAGCCACGGAGCAGATTGCCAGCAGAAGAGCCTGCTTTGCGGCAGATCACCTTGCCAGAGAACTCAAACGTCTCGTCTCGCAGAAATCGACCAGAGCTGTCGATGTTGTTCAGACGAGCGTGAGAGCCGTGCACCACCAGAAGACCAGGCAGAACTTGACCGCTCAAACCAGACTGACCAGACTCGCCCTCCAGAGCAGGGTCTTTGCAGAGGCCGTACAGAGCTTGCCTGGCCTCGTAGGTGACACGGTAGCGAACAGAGTCCGCGTCCAGAAAGGCCCTCTGCAGCTTCAGCAGACGGCTTCACAGCCTGCAGCAGAGGTGCCACCAGATCGCCAGACTTCACCTGGTCAGAGGAGGACAGATGGTGATTCTTCAGAGCCTCTCGCAGATGCTGCTGGGGCAGAGGGTTGTGCTCCCATTCAGCAAAGAGCTCTCGCTCGCTGCCAGACTTTATCCACAGAGGGATTTGGTCGGAGCAGATCACGACCAAATCAGAGACGTGCTCTCTGAACTCAGAGGGCTTGGCAACCCTGGTCGCCAGATCCTCCAGAGGTGCGAAGCAGGCTGTCCACAGAGTGCGGTCCAGACTCTGGTAAGTGAGCTTCGCAGAGACCATCTCCTCAGACTCAGACAGCTTCGTCTTCAGATCCGGCTGCAGATTCTTGGCACCGACGTCCAGCATCAGCTGCCTCAGACGGTTCTTGCCAGAATCTTTCGCAGCAGACTGCAGCTGCTTCTCGCCTTCAGAGATCTTTTGATCCAGACGACCCCGCTCGAAGGAGTCTGCAGAGGCACTCTTCGCAGACTTGAGCTTCAGAAGCTCCTGGCTCAGCAGAAGCTGCCACTGCGACAGCAGATGCCGCTTCTTCACAGAGTGCCCGTAGGCACGAGACTCCTCGAACCAGTTCCGCAGAGCGGTCTTCACGGCAGAAAACTCTGCCTTGCGGCCAGCTCCTGCCAGACGGAAGCCTTGGCCTGGTAGTCTGGAGCTAGCCTTCTGACGGCCCCTACCAGAGTGGCCAGACAGGTGCTTGCCAGGGCGCACGGAGAAGTTCCGCTCAGACTGTTGCAAGAGAACGGTGTCTCTTCTAGCCCAGAGCTTCTTCACGTACTTCTTGTCCAGACCAAGTTTCCGGCTCATGCCTGCAGCGAAGTCCTGCTCAGAACTAAAGCCAGGCATCTCTGTCTTCATCTGCTTCAGAACACGGGCTTGCACTGCCAGAGGCATCTCTGCAGAGCGCTTCTTAGAAGGAGCTCCAGGCAGATTCTTTGGTCTGCCAGTGTTCTTCTTCTTCGCGTAGCGTCGCTGAGCTTCCAGACGGGCTTCTTCGTCAGTCTGTTCTACAACAGACTCTCTTGCCACTTCTGCCAGAATTTGCTTCATGGCAGCGGACAGTGGCCTGCCCTTGGGCTGAGCTTCCTTCTCCAGAGGAGGCTTCTCTGCTAGAGGGTGCTCGGGCTTCCAGAAGTGCAGCAGTCTCTTCTGCTTTCCAGAACCTGCTGCGGTTGAATCAAGAAACAAGAACGCTTGTCACTTGCATGAAAAATATCAGTAAATAGACAGTCATTATGTCAACTGGCAAAGACGTGATGTTAGTAAAAAGACAGAGGCTTTGGTATTCGAAAGCTGCAGGCTTTGGCAAGAAGCCAGGGACTCCGGATTCCAGGAACTGCAGCAGCTAAACTTGAGGTCGGTTCCTTATTCCAATTCTATATAAACGGAGCCATTTCACAAAGCCGGCAAGGGTAACCCTTTGCAGCCCTTCTTCTGGCAATTATAAACGGGGTGGCAATAATAAACTCCTCCGGGGGAGGGGCTCCCGATGGGAAGCCTTGCTTTTGGGAAAGCTATGAAGCCAGTGGCTTTGGACAAGAAGCCAGAGGCTTTGGTATTCGAAAGCTGCAGGCTTTGGCAAGAAGCCAGGGACTCCGGATTCCAGGAACTGCAGCAGCTAAACTTGAGGTCGGTTCCTTATTCCAATTCTATATAAACGGAGCCATTTCACAAAGCCGGCAAGGGTAACCCTTTGCAGCCCTTCTTCTGGCAATTATAAACGGGGTGGCAATAATAAACTCATCCGGGGGAGGGGCTCCCGATGGGAAGCCTTGCTTTTGGGAAAGCTATGAAGCCAGTGGCTTTGGACAAGAAGCCAGAGGCTTTGGTATTCGAAAGCTGCAGGCTTTGGCAAGAAGCCAGGGACTCCGGATTCCAGGAACTGCAGCAGCTAAACTTGAGGTCGGTTCCTTATTCCAATTCTATATAAACGGAGCCATTTCACAAACCCGGCAAGGGTAACCCTTTGCAGCCCTTCTTCTGGCAATTATAAACGGGGTGGCAATAATAAACTCCTCCGGGGGAGGGGCTCCCCATGGGAAGCCTTGCTTTTGGGAAAGCTATGAAGCCAGTGGCTTTGGACAAGAAGCCAGAGGCTTTGGTATTCGAAAGCTGCAGGCTTTGGCAAGAAGCCAGGGACTCCGGATTCCAGGAACTGCAGCAGCTAAACTTGAGGTCGGTTCCTTATTCCATTCCTATTCTAAACGGAGCCATTTCACAAACCCGGCCGGCAAGGGTAACCAGCCCTTCTTCTGGCAATTATAAACGGGGTGGCAATAATAAACTCATCCGGGGGAGGGGCTCCCGATGGGAAGCCTTGCTTTTGGGAAAGCTATGAAGCCAGTGGCTTTGGACAAGAAGCCAGAGGCTTTGGTATTCGAAAGCTGCAGGCTTTGGCAAGAAGCCAGGGACTCCGGATTCCAGGAACTGCAGCAGCTAAACTTGAGGTCGGTTCCTTATTCCAATTCTATATAAACGGAGCCATTTCACAAACCCGGCAAGGGTAACCCTTTGCAGCCCTTCTTCTGGCAATTATAAACGGGGTGGCAATAATAAACTCATCCGGGGGAGGGGCTCCCGATGGGAAGCCTTGCTTTTGGGAAAGCTATGAAGCCAGTGGCTTTGGACAAGAAGCCACAGGCTTTGGTATTCGAGAGCTGCAGGCTTTGGCAAGAAGCCAGGGACTCCGGATTCCAGGAACTGCAGTAGCTAAACTTGAGGTCGGTTCCTTATTCCAATTCTATATAAACGGAGCCATTTCACAAACCCGGCAAGGGTAACCCTTGGCAGCCCTTCTTCTGGCAATTATAAACGGGGTGGCAATAATAAACTCATCCGGGGGAGGGGCTCCCGATGGGAAGCCTTGCGTTTGGGAAAGCTATGAAGCCAGTGGCTTTGGACAAGAAGCCAGAGGCTTTGGTATTCGAAAGCTGCAGGCTTTGGCAAGAAGCCAGGGACTCCGGATTCCAGGAACTGCAGCAGCTAAACTTCAGAACGAATTAATAATCAGTCTTTGCCAGAAGCAACATGGAATGACAGAAGCAGCTCGCCTGAAGAAGGCTGTAAGGTAGAACTCTCTGCAGTCACCAGAGCTTGCTCCGACAAGCTTCCTTCAGAAGCTGCCACAAGCTGCTCAGACACGTCCTCGCTGGACACCAAAGCAGCAGAAGAAGCGGCCGCAGCACCGCCGCCATCTTCCTCATCAGAGGAGATCGCCACAGACATTGCTGGGCAGATCTACTAGCAAAGCCAAAATGGCATGCCTGCAGATGCATGGACAATCAGAAAGCTTCTTCCTAGGCTCTTTTCAGACAATGCAGGCAAAGCAGAACCTTGCAGAACAGATGCTCGGAATGTTTTCACTCTTCACTGCGAAGCAGATCATCACTCCAGATCTCGGGAAGACCTGGGAGCAGGCGACAGATTCAGAATCTCCCAGACCTCGGCACCTTCGCCAGAGGCTTCGGCAGCAGATTCGCCGTTGGGATCAGAGGCTTCCTCCTCAGAGAACCCTAGATCCCCCTGATCTCGCTCTGTCAGAGCGTGTCCTTGTGGAGGGTTCTTCCAGCAAAGCCAGAGATGATCTCCAACAGACAGATCCCGTCGCCTGACCAGCCAGCCATTCAGAGTCCAGCGCAGACTGACGGCACCGTTCCAGATGAGGCTGATCTGCTCACCAGATGCCAAGCAGAAGAACAGATCCGCTCGATCCAGGCCGAGGAACAGACCAAGCAAGGTCAGAATCTCCGCCTGCTTTCGCAGAAAGGCTTTGCCCAGAGCACAGACCGCCACGTAGGCAGAGACCACCGCAGAGGACACCATGTCAGTGTTCAGAGGAGCTACAGAACTGACACAGAGCTCGACCCAATCGGGAATCAGAGAGAACAAGAAGCTCGGCTGCAACCGGTGCTTGCAGAGCAACAACACTTCCAGAACGTGTGCAATGCGAGGTCAGACTCTTTTTCAAAAACTCCTGCGAGATCTGTTCTGCGGCTCACTTCAGAGCCTTCAAAACCTCAGAGGCTTTGCGAAGATACTCCTTCTGTTCAGAACTCAGAGTATCCCAGAGATGCAGGAAACAATCCGGTGCATACAAAGATGCCTCCTCGGACGGAAGCACAGTCTCCCCAGAGGCTTCAGACGCTTCAGACAGAGCTTTCAGTCGCTGCAGCGGCTCAGGCACGGCAGGTGCCAGATCGTCGCTGGGGTCTTGCTTCAGAGACGGCTTCTTGACCAGAGCGGAGGCAGACGGCTTCTTGAGCACCCCAGACTTGCCCATCTTGCCGAAGAGAAGCGACCAGAGAGCTTGAGCAGAAGTTACTCAAGTACTTACATGTTGCAAAAACAGAATCAGACAGTGGCTGCTTCAACGCAGACAAACCAAGACAGACACAGTGCAACCAGATTTTTCCTTCCTCTGCGACAGAGGTCTCGGTGCGTCTTCAAAAAGACAGAGCCCACAGCCAGAGCTTCCAGAGCTTAATTACAGAAACAACAGAACCCCTAAGTATTTAATTAATTACATATTTCAAACCCTAGGACCTTTATATACGTGCCCTATGTGATTAAACCCTAAGTCAGAGTTAAAGGTTTAAGTTTAAAGGGTTTAGGGTTTTAGAGGGACTAGGGTTTAGGGTACAAGGGTTTTCTAGGGTTTTCTAGGGTTTTCTACAGGGCAACCAGACACAGCTCCAGAGCTCTGCGGCTCCACGGCGGGCAGAACTCTGCTCAGATGAGCTCCTGCCCGGATGCATGTAATTATTTACATTGATTAATCACTTATTTATTTGTTCTGGTTTTAATTAATTAATTGATTAGCTCACGAATTATGATTAAATTTGATAGTTGTTGGTTAATTATTGTGTATTGATGTTATTCTTATTCTTGTTGTTCTTCTTGTTGTTGTTGCTGCTGTTGTTGCTGCTGTTGTGGTCGTGGTGCTGGTGGTGCTGCTGCTGCTGCTGTTGCTGACGGGGCTAGTGGTGCTGGTGCTGCTGCTGGTGGTGGCGGTGGTCGTGGTGGTGCTGGTGGTGGTGGTGGTGGTGGTGGTGGTGGTGGTGGTGGTGGGGTGGTGCTTGATGGTGTGTCTGGGTGTGGTTGGTGGTGCTGGTGGTGGTGGTGGTGCTGGTGTGGTGGTGGCGGCGGTGGTGGTGGTGGTGGTGCTGGTGGTGGGCGCTGGTGGTGGTGCGGTGGTGGTGGCTGGTGGTGCTGGTGGTGGTGTGGGTCTGGTTTGTGGTGGTGGTGGTGGTGGTGTTGTGTTGGTGGTGGCGTGGCTGGTGCTGGTGGTGGTGGTGGTGGTGGTGGTGGTGGTGGTGGTGTGGTGGTGGTGGTTGTGGTGGGGTGGTGGCCGGTGCTGTGCTGGTGGTGGGTGGGGTGGTGGTGTGGTGTTGGTGGTGTGGTGGGGGTGGTGGTGTGGTGTGGTTGGTGGTGGTGGGTTGGTGGTGGTGGTGGTGGTCGCTGTGGTGGTGGGGGTGTGTGGCGCCCCAAACCCTGAAACCCTTAACCCCAAACTCTGAAACCCTTAACCCCAAACCCTGAACCCTAAACCCCAAACTCTGAAACCCTTAACCCCAAACCCTGAAACCCTTAACCTCAGACTCTGAAACCCTTAACCCCAGACTCTGAAACCCTTAACCCCAAACCCTGAAACCCTTAACCCCAAACTCTGAAACCCTTAATTAACCCCAAACCCTGAACCCTAAACCCCAAACTCTGAAACCCTTAACCCCAAACCCTGAAACCTTTAACCCCAGACTCTGAAACCCTTAACCCCAGACTCTGAAACCCTTAATTAACCCCAAACCCTGAACCCTAAATCCCAAACCCTGAAACCCTGAACCCCAAACCCTAACCCCTCCTTGTACAGATAGATCCACCCCTCCTTGTACAGATCCTTCCAGATCTGCAGCAGATCCTGGGCTTCCAGAACCCTAATTAGACTGGGGTTGGTGTGCACCAGAGAGCGATTCAGATCTGGCCTCGGCCAGATGACCGGATACACCAGCCAAAGCCACAGAATCTGCTGCATCAGAAGCTCCTGCCAGCAGGAGCACAAGCCCGAAAATAAAAACCCCCAACCCCAACCCCAAACCCCACCTTCAGGCACCTGGCATGCGAAGTCCAGAGCTGGGCACCAGATTCGGCCAGAGCCTAGGTAGGAATCCCAAAGCAGAGGCCCAAACCCCTCATTAACCCCTAAACCCCAGACCCAAAAACCTAAACCCTTCTAGGCCAAGCAACGGGCGCATGTAGTCAGACGGGAAGTAGACCTGCAAGGGTTTAGGGCTCCAGGGTTTCAGGGTTTGGGGTTTCAGGGTTAGGGGCTCAGGGTTTAATTAATTAAGCACAGGATGGGAAGGCCTTCTTGCAGATCTTCTCCCAGATCTGTCCAGAGTTGGGCCCAGATGCGGCTCCAGAGCCCTGGCTGGCATAGAAGAATGCCAGATCACGGACATACAGCTGGTGGTTCTTGCAGTCCGACAGATCTCGGTATGCAGATGCAAGCCACCCGCCCCCCCCAGACACAAAAAACAAAGGCCTGGGTGCAACTAAGTAGCAGCTCTGGAACCAGACAGCCCAATCCCCACAGTCCTCAGAAACCTTCGCCAGATCCACCTTCTTGGCCATGAAGGTGTCCAGACTCAGATCAAAGCGGAATGCCGGCAGATGAAGACTGCAGAACTAATTAGCCGAGCTGCGAGTCCCAGACAAAGGCCACATTCCCGTTCACACGGGCCACATCATCGTCCGTGATCTCATCACAGACAATCCTGTACAGAACCTGTCCAGAATGGGTTGTTCCAGAACAGCTATGGTTAATTGATGACAGATGCACCTCGTTCAGTGTCACCAGAACGGACAGGTAGCAGATGTGGCCCCAGAGCTTCAGCGAGCCAGAGGCAGCCAGATATCTCTCCAGTTCGCCTCTGACGCGAGAGCTCAACACAGACCTGCGGCTCGCATTGGCAGAGTGCAGCCATCCACGCCCATCTTGCCAGACGTCGTAGCGAAGCAGCTCCGTCTGCAGAGCCAGGACGCGGTCTGTGCAGAGCAAGGACAGAGGGCCCCTCTGCCGGTCCAGCGTCTGCAGGGCAGATTCATCATTAGACACATGCAGACACACACACAAACGAGCGTGCACGGTCATTTTAGGGCCTTCAGAGTCTCCATCAGATCATCGGCAGTGAGCCCTCCAGACGGTGCCTCAGATAAGAGCAGAAGCACACCCAGAACCCCAAACCCAGACCCTTTCTCGCAGATTATCGCCAAGGCTCGCCAGGGTTGCCCAGGGGTCCAGATGGTGCCTCAGATAAGAGCAGAGGCACACCCAGAACCCCAAACCCCAGACCCTTTCTCGCAGATTATCGCCAAGGCTCGCCAGGGTTGCCCAGGGGTCCAGAGGGTGCCTCAGATAAGAGCAGAAGTCACACCCAGAACCCCAAACACAGACCCTTTGTCGCAGATTATCGCCAAGTCTCGCCAGGGTTGGCTGGTCCAGAGGGTGCCTCAGATAAGAGCAGAAGCACACCCAGAACCCCAAACCCAGACCCTTTCTCGCAGATTATCGCCAAGGCTCGCCAGGGTTGCCCAGGGGTCCAGATGGTGCCTCAGATAAGAGCAGAGGCCCACCCAGAACCCCAAACCCCAGACCCTTTCTAGCAGATTATCGCCAAGTCTCGCCAGTGTTGTCCAGGGGTCCAGAGGGTGCCTCAGATAAGAGCAGAAGTCGCACCCAGAACCCCAAACCCCAGACCCCTTCTCGCAGATTATCGCCAAGGCTCGCCAGTGTTGTCCAGGGGTGCAGATGGTTCCTCAGATAAATAAAAGAGCAGAAGTCACACCCAGACACCAAAACCCAGACCCTTTCTCGCAGAAACCCAAACCCAAAAACAAAAAGACACAGACAAGACTCCCCAGCCAGAGTCATGTCCGCATCAGAGGCTGCCATGGCCTCAGATATTCATTGGCTAGTTAAACAGAAACAAACCCTCGCCAGCTAGGCCAGACTCCTTGCTTCAGTCCAGTGGCGTCAGAGGGAGTTCAGAAGGAAAGCAGAAAGGCCGAGGGCACAGAAGCCAGAGTGCTGCAAATGCCAGAGGTTGAGACTTCACGTACTAATTACTATTATTACTACTATTACTACTATTACTACTATTACTACTATTACTACTATTACTACTATTACTACTATTACTACTATTACTACTATTACTACTACTATATACTACTACTATTACTACTAGTATACTAGGCCCGGAGCAGGCCAGAGGTTTACTATTGCCACCCTGACCCCAGACCCTGCCCCAAGAGACCTCCGCGCAAAACAACCTCAGGGGGGGGGGGGGGGGGGGGGGGTGTGGGGGGGTTTCTTAAAAAACAGCCACTCCAACATTATTGCCTATATTGCTCTCTTAATTATGTACAACCCAAACTAAACATGTTAAATACTGCTTACATACCTTTCGCACTTAGAACCCGCAATACACATGTGAAGTATTGCCTATTGCCTTTGCTACTCACAGCCCGAAATAATGATGTTAAGTATTGCCTGCATGCTGTTCGCGCCTACATGCGTTCTTACCTGCATGCTTTTCGCACGTAGAAACAGAAATAATCATGTTAAGTAGTGTCTACATACCTTGTGTGCTCACAACTCGAAACAACCATGTTAGGCATTGCGGACATGTCATTTCACAACCTGCAAAGGCTTGTAACAAACATATGACCTTGAGTTCTAAAGGTTCATTTCCAGTATCTTCCCTAAACCCAAATTGCAGCTGAAATCCCCTTCAGCCTTGAGAGCCTCAGCCCCAGCACCCTCAACCCACCCCACACCCGCCTCAACCCCACCCCCACCCCCGCGCCCCTGGGCAGGGCCTGCGCTTAGCCCTCTGCCTCCCCTATGTGTGCCCAGGTTATAGGTGATACCTAGTCTTATTATTTTACTTTCAGGGGTTCTAGGCAAGGTTTCATGGCAATAGTAGCAACAGGGTTATAGGCAATACTTAGCATGATTATTGTTGCTTTTATAGTTGCAAGCCGGGTTTATTATGATTAAACACAGGGCTACAGGCAATACTTAACATGATTATGAGTGTTTGTAAGGGTTGTTCTCTTACTTTGCTCGGAATAGTAATACAGAAGCCACAGGCGGTATAATTAGCAGTGACATCGGCCTACTAGGATTATCGAAGTTTTACCGATTATAGATTGTGTTTAAAAGGAATCTTACCAACAGGAACACAGTCAATACATAAGGTGTAGGATTATTGGTTTTCT